CCCTTGGAAAATTTTAATTTCACAGGAACAAGGGGCATTCAATACTATGGCAGATGCTGCTTTTACTACCCTATGTACATTCTCCCCTCTATTACCAAAGGAAACCCCCCACTTTGTTTAGGGTGGCAAGACACCTACCACCACATTTAATTTTCCAAGCTTTATGGATTATCAGTATCTTTGTGATCTAATTCTGACCCATATCAGAAGTGCTGTATCTACTAGAGCTTATAGAAAAGTGTTGTTTTTCTGTTTTTTTAAAAAAAGGACAAATCACTCAATATTTACTTTTCCTTTCACTGACTGTAGCTGGGCTTCTTTTTTTTTTTCTGGTATTGGAACATGATATATGATAGAGGAGCAACAATTTTATGAACATGAAAATGGAAGGACTCAGTAAAGTTGTTTATGTCTAGGTCCCTATGGCATTTCTAGGGGTCAAACTACCAGTTCTGGACTGCTTACCTCTGAACTTCTTGAGTGAGAAACACTGTTTCCTAATATATTTAAGTCCCTGGAATTTATTTAGGTTTTCTGCTATAGGCACACAAATGCAATAGTAAAGGAGTGCACAGATGTAGAATGTAGGTGCCACCATTCCAGAATAGCTGGGCTTTGTAATGATATGTGTAGCAGGGTAATGGCTTTTTCTACCAATAAATTTGAAGTTAAAAAATTCTATTTTGAGAGTTTAACTTGGAAACTTTAGATTACTAAAAACTGCATATTAAGTAGTATGTGAAGAACTAGGTTTGTTTTCCTCTTTCCTTCTGCGAATAACCATGTCACAAAATTTTGACCTCTTAAGATAGATGGCATAGAGAGCATAGGGTCTACCTAACTTCAACTACACTAACCTGGTGTGTTGGACTTCTTTCCCTCCAGGGCACAAGTCACTCTTTGGATATAATTGAGTCCTCAGAGAGATCCATCTTGGCAAATTCCAGAGTGTGAAAGGGAAGAAAGAGGAAGGAAAGAAAGACCAGTTTGGTCAATTCAAATAAATATCAGAAACACATATATGTATTAATTTACTTATGATTTTTTTTAATATAGACAACTCCTCACTAAGTAGTTCATAAGTAGCACAAACCCAGGAAAATAAGCCATGAACATTTGCTGATTTTATATATATATCCTATATAATAAAAGGCTAATATGCATATTGACTGAACAGCCAAATGACCAGTCGCTATGACACACATTGACCACCAGGAGGCAGACGCTCAACATAGGAGCTGCCCCCTAGTGGTCAGTACACTCCCATAGGGGGAGCACTGCTCAGCCAGAAGCCGGGCTTATGGCTGGCTAGCACAACAGTGATGGCGGAAGCCTCTCTCGCCTCTGCTGTAGGGCTAAGGACTCCTTGGGGGATATCTGTGGGGAGTGGGCCTAAGCCAGCAGGCGGATATCCCCTGAGGGGTCCTGGACTATGCACAGGCCGGGCTGAGGGACCCCACTCTCCAGTGTACAAATGTTGTGCACCAGGCCTCTAGTGTGTGTGTGTGTGTGTGTGTATACACATACACACACACACACATATCTTGACTTCTCCACTCATAAATATCCCCAAAACATATTTTCTGATTCTAACATCTTAAAAGTTACTACAGCAGATTTTTCTAATAATGTATTGACATGCAAAGATACTCTTAAGGGTTTTATTACATCCCTGAAAATAAAACGAATTATAGTGTTCATCATTGAAATATGTGGATCATTAAATGTCTGTATAATTTAGAGATGATGATCATCTGAATTTTTAAAAAGATTTATGGAAAGTAGTCTTTATTCAACTTGGGAAGAATGCTCTAGCCATACAGTTTCTGGAAAATAATCTATATATTAATGATAAGCAAATGCAACCAATTAGTAAATTCAGCCACTCTGAATGACAAACTTCTGGTACCTAAAGCTGTTGGAGTGAATAATCACTTACTGTATATCCCACATCTTACTTCTTATCGATAATTATGGACATATAAATAGATTCAATACAAACAGAAATAATTCAAAAGGAAGACTAAAACATAATAGAAGCACAAAACCCTGGGATATACAATAAAATAATTTGTTGATTATTATGTCTTCCATGTAAATGGCTACTGAATATAGGACAGACTCTAGACAAACTTATGAAGTAAGTAGAATTTGATTTCTCCCAATTCTTCCTCAATTAGATGCTGCTGTTTCATTTTCTGCTTCCCTTGCATATTAAAAGCCTGATATCTATTCTTACCCATTTTTATTCCAGTCAAGGTAAAATTGTAGGTAATAGCTAAAAATCTTCCTCTCCTGGGATACTTGAATTTTCATAATGACTAATATCTAGTGAAATGGAAGACAGATACTCCAGCCACAGACCCTGAAGTTGCTCTACTCCTGCACAAGTTTAAATTTGAAAGGGAGGGAGCACTTCTTAGCACACTACTTATTCAACTCTGAGAATAAGAGATTTTACGCACTGTCCACAATAAATATTTATCATCATATCATTTATTATTGTGCAACTAATTGCCTCAAATTTAGAAGTTTAAAACAATTTATTGTTTTTTCATGATTGTATGATTTTGTCCAAAATAGGTCACTGATATGGCTGGTGATTGATGCTGATGGTCCAGTAGGAGCCGAGGTGGGGTTGTTGACTGAAGAACCTATACATGCCCCTCTCTGTGCCTTGGCCTTCTCACAGGAAGATGGCTTGGTCTCTCAAGCAGAGTCCCAAGAATGAGTATTCAACCTTCCTAATGCCGCCACCCTTTAATACAGGTCCTCATGTTGTGGTGACCCCCAACCATAAAATTATTTTCGTTGCTACTTCATAACTGTAATCTTCCTACTGTGATGAATTGTAATGTAAATATCCGATATGCAGGATGTATTTTTATTGTTACAAATTGAACATAATTAAAGCATAGTGATTAGTCACAAAAACAATATGTAATTATATATGTGTTTTCCGATGGTCTTAGGCGAACCCTGTGAAAGGGTCGTTTGATCCCCCCAAAGGGGTCGCGACTCACAGGCTGAGAACCGCTGTTGTAAAGCTTCTGATGACTTAGCCTCAGAAGTCACAGAATGTCATGTTTGACACATTCTATTGGTCAGACAGCCTAGAAGCAATATAAGCTAGTTTACTCTATATTTTGACATTGCAGGGGCAAAGTGACATGGAAAGGAACATATGGGATGAGATATATTTATGCATTATCTTTGGAATGTGCAACTTCCATATTGGCTATGAAAAGACTGCTCTTTATTCCACCATTTTCATTCCCTAATTACTTTCAAGAGTGGATTCCCAGAATTATAACTGGGCTCATAGCTATTTTATAGAAGCTATATATTTCCAGATTTTTTTCTTTTAAAAATATTATCTTACATTTTACGTATAGAGAAAAGTTGCAACAATGATACAGAGAATTCCCTTATGTCCCTCACCCTGTGTCCCTTAACATTAACATCTTATATAGTCATAGTACAATTCTGGAAAACAGAAAACTAATATTGGTACAATAATATTGACTCAGCTACAGACCTAGTTCTAATTCACCAGTTTTCCCACCAATGTTCTATTTTTGTTCTAGGATCCTATCAAAGATCGCATATCACAGTTATTTATCCTTTAAAAAATTTTTAAAAATATATTTTTATTGATTTCAGAGAGGAAGGGAGTGGGAGAGAGAGATAGAAACATTAATGAGGAGAGAGAATAATTGATCAGCTCCTCCCACATGCCCCACACTGGGGATTGAACCCACAACCTAGGCATGTGCCCTGATTGGGAATCAAACTGTGACCTCCTGGTTCATAGGTAGATGCTCAGCCAGGTATTTCCCCTTAATCCTTAACAGTTACTTAGTCTTTTCTTGTCTTTCTTGGCCTAGATACTATTAAAGAATACTGATCAGTTATAATTGATCCAGCTTTTAAAATTTGTTTTAAAGCTAACTACAGCCATGAGATCAAGTTCCAGTCCAGGAATGTGAATGGAAGTGGTATTTACACCTTCCAGCCCCTTCTTAAACGTGAATCTGCTAGCCCGTCATGGAGTTCTCTTACCCTGTTTCCACTAGCTTGGAAATGATGAAGATCCAAGTGACCAGGGAAGCCTCATGTTGGTAACAGCAAAATCTCCCTGTTATCCCTGAGCTTGTGTCTTGGAGTTGTTCCAAGAAAGAAAAGTAAAATATCTATTTTAATTGAGTCATTGCATTTATGGGTCTCTTCATTATAGAAGCTTGTGCCAACTGTAGATATTACTCCCACATATCCCTGGAGTGATTATATATTATCATATAGCTTCTTGTGTAATTTCTGATTGAATCCTCTTGGGTAGGAGATAGTGATATAGGCTATAATAGAATAAATTACTGTTATTATTAAGTTAATCATATCTATGATTACTCATACAAAAACTGTGAACTTGCTATTTCATTATCGATTTTTCCTATTTTCACCAATAATTTCACCAGTTTTCCCAAGGGATATAGGTGGATGTAGTTTGGGTAAGCAAGGAGAGAAAGAAAGCGGGGGGTGGGGGGGGAATTATTATTTTAATAACTCTTCAACTTGAAGGCAAGTATCAATTTTATAAACTTAAAGCTGTGATTTTGTTTAAATTCTAAACAATTATCATTGCTGTTTCTACTTACAAAATTTTTTAAACAAATTCCATTTATATATTTTTCCCATAATTTCCATTTTCTTCAATACAGCTAAAAGTGGACAAAAGTAGAGTTACAGTTGTTCATATGGAAATAACACAAATACACAATATAATAGTTAATTTCAAGGATAAACTGCCTTTTGTACTTACAACTGTAAACCTACTTTGCCCACCCCTGTATATTTTTTACTTAAAATTTCACCTACTTTAATTTTTCCCTGTACACATTCTAATCTTCTCTCTCAGAAGAGCTTTCCTGACTCCGTTGTTAAGTGAGAAATAAATAATCTGTTTATTTTGTAACTGCAAATATAGGCTGTGTAGTTCTTCAGCAAAGAAATTAGTGATACCTTTCCTTAGTTTATAGAAACCAGTCTAAATTTGATTTAGGTCATTCAAGATATATATATTTCATTTCAACGTTAGAAATTTTAGAAAAGGGAATTTTAAGAGAACCACTTTATTCCTTGGGCTACTGAGTACTGCACATAACAAATTAACAAAGAAAGATAATTGTATGCATTCCATTCTATACTCTGCCTATACCTGTTAATTTTCCACCCCCAAATATAATTATCCAATAAATTATATATATGTATATATAATGCTTTTCGCCAAAACCTGTATTCATCTTCTGTAAGCTTCCTCCCTTCCAGTACTACCAAGGCTTGGGATTCTTTCATTCTTTTCTGTTCCAACGTTTCAGTTTTTGCTTCACTGAAGTTCTTTAAATTGCCCTATTGTGGTATAATTGATATACAAAGAACTGCACATGTTTAATGTGTACAATTTGATGAATTTGGACATAAACAAACATTCATGATACCATCACCATAATCACAGTAACAGACACATCCAACATCTCCCAAAGTTTCCTTGGATTTTTTTCTTTTCTTTTTTAAATCCTCACCCTAGGATGTGTTTCCATTGATTTTTTAGAGAGAGGGGACGGGGGGGGGGGGGGAGATCAATGTGAAAGAGAGATGTTGATTGGTTGCCTCCTGTTTATACCCTGACCTGCAATCAAACCTGCAACCTTTTGGTGTATGGGACAACGCTCCAACCGAGTCACCTGGTCAAGGCCTTCTTTCTTTTTTAATAGTAAGAACACTTAACATTAGTTTTACCCTCATAACAAAATTTGAAGTACATAATATGGTGAAGGTTGTTTTCCAATACCTTTGTCATAAAGGGTGCATGGAAATTGTATTTCCCCTGGAAATAAATTTTATGGGGTACATACTTTTCCTTGAGGAATTAATAGATGTTAGCCCATTGTTTTCTATTATTCATAAGTGCTATGGAGAATGATCTACCTAGCATTTTAAATAACTGAACTACTCAAATGCTTCGAGCTTTCATATAGTTCAGGTCAGGACACAGCTGTTTCTACAAATAGAATTGGAAGTACGCCTGGACTAAACTGACTGTTTTCAGTCCTTTCTTTTGTAAAGACTAGAATTCGTAGATGGTTAGATAGCCGAATAAAGGGAAGATTGGGAGTAGCCTCTACTTTTCCCCTAATACCCATATTGGATAAAATTCATGTCATTTAAGTTTAATAAAATACTGTCAAAGATTTCAGATTCTTAATGTACTTTCTGCTAACCTGAATTTTCCTGTGTTTAGAAAGGTAATATGTAACTTAGTACTTCAAAGAGAAATAAAGCTCTCCCCAAACACATTAGAAAACAGAAACCAAAATACTGCTTCCCTTCTAGTATCCTGTCTGCTCTTCCCAAGTCCCTGTTAAAGTGAAGAATACCATAGGAATTGCTCTAAGAAATGTTTCTTCCATCTACACTGTCACAGTAAAGTTTTCTCCTAAAATTTGGAGGTTTATAGCATCATAGGAAGTAAGAGATAATAGTCATTCTTTGTTTCCAATCCCAATATTTGCTAATGTGTCAGCTGTTTCATCTCATGGTTATTCTTTCCTTTCACAGTCTATTAACTTGCTGTTCCAGGCCCAGCAATCTGTAACTAACTGTAGAGACCACCACATGAGCACACAAATTTAAGTATTATCTTCTAACCTCAAGGTATAAGTCAAAATCCATCATTAGAATTTCCTCTTTCATTTCAATTTTATTTTTATCTGATCATCTTGGAGGAGGAGAAAAGACTGAGATTTGTCTTGTGTTTTTAATTTTTATCCTCCATGCTTTTCTATGTCCATTGACTAGTTTTAAGGGAAAAAGTGTGGTTGTTTTCCCTTCCACACTTCCCTAGCTGTCATATTGAAAACCATGTGCTTTCCCTGGTTTCTGCAAGAAAGTTGAGTCTGAATTAAAAAGTTCCACATTGGCAAACCACACACAAAGTCTATCATTGTATCCCTAAAACCCTCCGGGAACTAAAAGCACAGTGTTTGCTAAGGCTGATCTGGTTCTTGCGCATTCACTCAGGACTTTAGAAATATGATATACTTTATCAGCCTTAATGATTGAAACTTCACTGTAACTATAACCACAGTGAATATCTACTTTGAGCAATCACCAATCTTCAAAGTTTGCAGGTTTGCCAAATAATTTACTTTTATTCTATATGAAGCTAATTTATCCTATTGTGAAATAGAATACCTAAGGTAGCAGAGGAAGAATGGTTATTTTTTTTCAGCAGAAATCAAATATAATTTGGAAAACACTTCACATGAATTTGTCCTACTTTTATGAGTTTATAAAGCTAATCTCTTTTCCTTGCCTGGGAGCTGCTTGCAGTATTATTATTATTAAACTCATCTCATGTCAATTCCTATGTTAAAAGAGGATTATAAAACTATAATTTCTTGAATTTAAGAATATTAAGAATCTAACCGACTGTTATGACCCGACAACCGGCCAGTAGCTATGACATGCACTGACCACCAGGGGGCAGACGCTCAATGCAGGAGCTGCTCCCTGGTGGTCAGTGCACTCCCACAGCCAACCCGACAACAGCTGGCCAACCTCCTGCAGTCCCTCCCCTGGCCGACCGGCC